AAATGAGAGAAATAAAGATGCAGAGCAAAATTTCAGGGAGAGTTTTCACAGGCTGCCTCGAGTAAATGTTTAGATTTGCGGAAGTTAGACGAGAAGACCCAGAACTCTTTCAGTCAACTCATTGCTATTGTAAAGCCCTGGTTTAATCTTTTCATTTGTATTATTTATTTATTTATTTATTTATTCATTTTTCAGTTTTCTGTGTGGTTGTGTTTGCTGTTTTCATTAACTTCCTCTGGCCTTTTGCGAGATGAGTTTTGTGACCCCCAGTATTAAGGCTTCTTCTGTCCCTATCGGAAGCCACCGCATCTTGTACCTCAATTTCCAGTGGATCAATATGTGTGCTGTGATTGAGAATGGATGAAGAGAATGTTCTATTGATGTTGGTATTACTGGGACAGGGAACATGTAAGGAAAAGAGATTTTCCTCATTTCACACCATTTATTTCTAGAAAGGGAAGCCAGAGACATTTCAGAAGAGTTTAGTGCTGTGTTGAAATAAATGCTCTTTTGCTTTCCTACCTGCCATATTTCAGTGTATATATACTTTGAATCAATATTCAATATTTTTGTTTTTTGTATTCTCCAGAACCTGCGACTGGGATTAGAATAACAGGCTGTATTATTGGATACTTACTTTCGATCCTCACGATTTGAACAGTTTTGTTTACCTTTAGTTGAATATTGTGTACATGTTGAAGCATGTTCTAAGAGGTAGCATTCTTTAACATGATTTTTATACTTTGCATTCTTGTAAATATATGGGAAGAAGTGTAGAATTAATTGAAGAGCTTAAGAGCTGGGGTTAAAACTTCTGCAGCAGCTGTGCCAGGCTTGCAAGGTATTAAGCAGGTATTTTATTATCCCTGATATCTAATATAAATATTCTGAATGCTAATTAAATTATGTTGCCTGATAAGATGACGAATCAGCTATACTTGATCTTGTAGGGAATTTCATAGGTTGATGTGTTGCTGTTTTGATGTTTTAGTAAGGCCTATTTTAATTTAGTTGGAAGCTAACTTTTATGTTTTCGTAAGATCTGTTTTAATTTCGTTGGAAGCTAACAGGTTGAATTAGTGGAATCCAGCACAGATGTACACAAGGTTCTTGATGTTTATGTCTTAGGTATTAACAGGTGTGATTCAGCAAATGATTCTCATGCCATTGCCTCGTATCCTGTAAGAACTTTTAATCCATCAAAGTTTAAAAGAAACCGTCTGATCAATCACAATACTCCTGCATAGACTGCAAACGACCATGATTTTATAACAAAGTAGTTGTTGATCTCAGATGTTAGTAATGCAGTTGCAACTTTGCTTTCCAGGTCATACTTTATGTCAACAAAGTGGGGCCCTACTTCAACCCCCACGAAACATATCACTACTACCAACTACCCGTCTGTCGACCCAAGATAGTAAGTGTTGTTCTCATCATCATTGCCCACAGAACAATGATAATTTTGTACGAAGTCAGTTCTTGCTCATGAACAAGTAATCCTTTAATGGTAACTTGATTGTAGGACTTTCATAATTTTCATAAATGTTCTAATTCGTATCATTATTATTATTAAAATCATCATTACTCAATAATAGCATTAGATGTGAGAGATGTGCTTCATGTTATGGTGAATGATCACTTGGTGATGCCTTATCAGGTCACGAGTCAGTGTTCCAGCTGTTGGAATGGACTCGTGAACACCGGACAGTGATATAGATAATTGCTAATGTACAACCATGTTTGTCAGGCTTTACCAAAAATTTTATTTGTAGTTATTGGTTTATTTCATTAAGATCATTACTATTACAGATGCAAAAGACACTTGGAAATTTATATCATTTTGTATTATTATACATTAAATCCCCTAATATAGGTTTTTAGCTAGATCTTTTTACCTAAGATTAGTAACATGGGAGATGTATCCCCCGCTTCAGTTCCATAATTTTTAGAGGGGGATGGGTATTTCTATGTTAAACGGGTTATGAAAAGGGATTCATCATCTTCAATGCACCCCCTAGATTGAGCACAAGAGCCTGACGCTTGGGGAAGTCCTGGATGGAGACCGCATGGCCAAGTCCGACATAAGGATCAAGTTCAAAGGTCAGAATCAATTTAGAAAGTTTTTTGTTAATTGTTTCCTGAAGTGTGCTTTAGTGCGCAACACACATGTACACACACACGTGCACACGCATACGCGTGCACACACACACACACACACACACACACACACACACACACACACACACACACACACACACACACACACACACACACACACACACACACACACACACACACACACACACACTCACTCTTTACTCACTCACCCACCCACTCACTCACTCACCCACTCACTCACTCACTCACTCACTCACTCACTCACTCACTCACTCACTCACTCACTCACTCACTCACTCACTCACTCACTCACTCATTCTTTCTCTCATTCTTCTCTCTTCTCTCTCTCTTTCTCTCTCTCTTTCTCTCTTTCTTTCTCTCTCTTTTCTCTTCTCTCTTTCTCTCTCTCTCTCTCTCTCTCTCTCTTCTCTCTCTCTCTCTCTCTCTCTCTCTCTCTCTCTCTCTCTCTCTCTCTCTCTCTCTCTCTCTCTCTCTCTCTCTCTCTCTCTCTCTCTCTCTCTCTCTCTCTCTCCCTCTCTCCCTCTCCCTCTCCCTCTCCCTCTCCCTCTCTCCTCTCCTCCCTCTCCCCTCTCTCCCTCTCTCTCCTCTCCTCTCCCTCTATCCCTCTCTCCTTCCCTCTCCCTCTCTCCTTCTCTCCTCCCTCCTCCCTCTTCTCCTCTCTCTCCCTCTCCCTCCCCCTCTCCCCTTCCCTCCCTCCTTCTCCCTCTCCCTCTCTCGTTTTCACACTAGGAACCTAAATGTCGAATATTCTGAGGTTCTTATGAGAAATCCTTGTTTGGATGGTGGATATGGGAATGTGTGCTTGCAAGTTTGTGTGTATTTTGATATTTTTGAATATGAGTTTTTCACTCCATATATCTTTGTAAAAAACAACAGAAGCGAGAGTGTTTCTCTCTTTCATATCTTTTCTCCTTTACTTTCTCTCATTTTTCTCTCTCTGACAGTCTTTCCTCCTCTTCCATCTTTGCTTGCATCTTTTAGTATAGACTAAGCACTCGTCCATGAACAAGTGCTCATTAAATCTTACACGTGCCAGAAGATATTTGCTAATAGGCTGCAGATAGTTATTAATATATATTTTTTAAGGATACTGGTATGGCTAGATCAGAAAATTTAATGCTAATTAAGTGTATACTAATTAAAGAAGAAGGATAATTAAATGCAGATTACAGTTAGGAGATTTAATTTGTGGTGATACTTTTTAGTTAATTAGTATTAAAGACTGTATTTTGTTCCTGTATACCTGAAATACTTGGTATATGATTATCAATGCATTATGTGAAAACCTATTGTGGTTTTATGAAATATGTTGTCAGTGAATATGGTTACAGGGGATCCACATTATTTGTCATTAGTATGGACCAAAATAATATGGCAAATGATTTGATGGATAGTGATACACAATTTCACATAGGAATACATTATAATAGGATGTAATGTGTTCCTCGACTGTAATATCCAGTGGTTTGCTCAAGCATATAATCTCTCTTTATATTCTATAAAAAGAGTAATGCCTAGATTTTTATTTTTTGGAAAGTAATACAAAAGCAAAATGCAAACATTAGGCATTGGGAAACATGGTATTATTATTTCTCACAACGCAAGTTCAGAGGAGCGGCCATTGGCATGTGGCAGAGGTGTATGGAACGAGAGTGGGGCTCGGCACTGGTAGATAGGAGAGGATCATAACCTTTTACATAAGCCATCTCATCTTCATTTTCATCCAGGTTTCTTGTGAAGGATCCTCAGGAGTGGCTGAGGTGGCTGGGTCAGGATCATCATGCATTCACTGTTTGATATGACACAGTTGGAAAAAAAAGAATGAAGGGTAGTCTACTTCATTCTAGCTTTTATTGCCTTTTTTATTATAGATATATCAAACTTTATGGTCCTTCAAGAGCCTGATATCAGCTGTGACTTGGTTGTCTTTATATCTTTTTATTTAAATCCGTCTTATGTCGACTGTCAACATTTACCTGTGTTTTTTTTTTTGGATCAGCCATTATTCATTAATGGATGTGGAAAGATACAAAAGAACGACAACTGCAACAACAAAAGATTAATAAACAAAAGGGAAGAGAAAAAAATATTTAACATTATATTCTACAGATGTAGAAGAAATATATTTAGAACTAGAATTTACAACATCGGTAAGAATTCCTGATCCAAATGATGATGCATCATTTCACATATTAACTCCTTACCCTTACCCTCCCTTTCCAGAGAACATGCAAAACCGAAAGCTTTGCGACCTGGTGTTATCGGAGGAGGAGGTGCAATATCTCCGAGAGGCCATCGAAGAGCACTACTACTACGAATTTGTAGTTGATGATATCCCTGTGCGAGACTTCATTGGTCATCTGGAGGAGTCAGGCTTTGTCCCCCACACCCACAAAGTATACCTGTGGACACACCAGCATTTCAATATTTACTATAATGATAATAAGGTAAGTTCTCCTCAGGATGGCTTGTTGGACATTGTGTATTTTGGTGAAGTACATCTTGTGTCATGTATTAGTGAAATTACATATTGTTAGTTGAAGTATTGTGGCACTCTTTGGTTGCTTCTTTGAATACTTATTTTGACATATTTTTTTCAAATAACCCCCAGATCATCTATGTAAATGCAACAAAGGAGCATGCACCTATTTCCTTGGATGATGTAGAGCCACCACTCAACATACAGCCCACATATTCTGTGACTTGGATTCCTACAAAGTAAGTTTCCTTTTTGTGTGTGTTCAGACATTTTATTTATTATAAGTATGTCTCTTTTTTTCTTATGTATATGCTTAGCTGATCTAAATTAGCTTTGTGTCGAAAGTCATTCAGGTTATTTGAAAAATTTCACCATGATTTGTTTTACCCATCAAAGGTTGAGATTGCATTTACACAGACTCACCCACTCGGGCTTCCAACAGAATTGCACATGCGGACCGAGGGCGGCTTATTCAGGACAACAGCTTCTTCCCACGCAGTCTAGAGATCCACTGGCTTTCCATCATCAACTCTATGGTGCTTGTGTTTCTCCTCATAGGCTTTGTGGTTATTATCCTGGTAAGTCTTGATAAACCGGAATAAATTCAAGATTTAAATGAGCCGGTCTTTGAGTGGTGTGTTTTTATTCTTTTGTCTTTGTTATTATTATGATTTATTATTTTGATTGTTATTTTTGATCTTATTGTCATTATTGTCAGTGTTTTATATGGTAATTGCTGCTATGCATGTGACACTTATGGTTTTATGTAGGATGTATATTGGATCCAGAATATTTTTATCATTGTAAAGAAACACTGAATAGTATTAGTTCAAATTAATAAGAATATGTTCCCAGTTTTCTCAGTATTTTTTTCCTCTTCTCTCTCCTTGTGGTGATGTAGACCCGAGTGTTGCGGAATGACTTCGCACGCTACAACATTGACGAAGAGGGCCGGGACGACATAGAGATGAGTATGGTTGGAAAATCATCCACACCGATGTATTCAGGTTCCCACAGCACAAGAGCCTGTTTTCATCCATTCTGGGTGAGAAAGATAACATTTGGTAGATGGATTGAATTGGTGCAATGTTAGTGATTAAAGAATGAGGAATGATTTTGTATCCTACATATATTTTCCAATTCATTTTATTGTTAACTATTGATTTATTATTAATTATAATCTATAAACCAGTCTAATAGCTAAGTATTTGCAGGTGTTGGATGTCAGTTCTTGGCAGTGGCAGTGGGGATCATCGGCATGGCTCTGCTGGGCATGTTCAATGTCCACCGTCACGGCTCTATGAACAGTGCAGCCATCTTCCTGTATGCCCTTGCGTCAGTCATAGCAGGATACGTTTCCTCATCCAACTTCAGAATGATGGGCGGCACCAAGTGGGTGTCCAACATCAACTTGACAACCGTGCTCTTTGCAGGTGCAGTGCTTTAGAAGTTTGGAAAAGAGAGAGAGAGGGAGAGAAAGAGGAAGAGAAAGAGAAAGAGAGGGAGAGGGAGAGGGAGAGAAAGAGAAGAGAGGGAGAGGAAGAGAAAGAGAGGAAGAGAGAGAGAGAGAGGGGGGGAGTTGAGCTGAGTTGAGTTGAGTTTAATTGAGTTAGTGAGAGAGGAGTGGAGTTAGCAAGAGAGAGAGAGAGAGAGAGAAGGGCACAGACTGGTTCAAAGAATGGAAAGGAATGATTCTGAAACTGATAGCTATGTATGTTTTCTTTTCATAGATGTAAGTATTCATCTCCATTGAGAGCAATTTACAAACTTTGCCATACCCGTAAGTGGAACATTTCATCTGTTTGGTTAGAACAAGAACACACCAGAAGCAGCTTCTTCTATCTGTTGCATCGTTTGCAGGTCCATTCTTTTTGATCTGGAGCATTCAGAATACGGTCGCTTGGGCCTACCACTCCACCCAAGCCCTTCCCTTCACTACCATCATCCTGTTGCTGCTCATGTGGATCTTTGGTGAGTGTTTGAGCCTTCCATTTTTAGATGTTGATGCACCTTTTTTGTTCGGAAGAGTTTAAAGAGATTGTGAGATGTAGTCTGTGATTTATATACATATGAGTGTAGGTGTTGTAATTACTTTTTTCATTGGTGCATGTTGAAATTGGTGTATGTATGAATTGGTTTCAATGTTTTTTGTGACTTCTGTATGTAATAGTTTATGTGGGTATTCAGATTGTTGCAGAAGTTAAAGGTTGGAAATAACTTGGACCCAAAAGAGTGATAGTAATGTCTTTAAGAAAATAGATCTTTTCCACAAAATCTAAGATGTATCCCCTTGCAGTGGGCTACCCACTCACCATTTTTGGAGGGATCCTGGGAAAGAACGGCCGCATAGAATACAATTTCCCTTGCCGGACGAAGAACATTGCACGGGAGATACCTTCAGGTCCCTGGTACCGATCCTCCTGGGCACACTGCGCTGTTGGCGGCTTCCTGCCCTTCAGGTAAGTTCCTTCTTCTCTTGCTTTGTCATACACTACTTTGTTGCTTATTTTCTTCTGCTTTGATAATTATGCTTGTTTTTCTCCTCTTTTCCTTAGGTTCTTCTTTTTCCTTTTCATCTTCTTTCTTGTCTTTTTATTCATTATTTCTTTTTGTTCCCCACTTCTTTTTGTCTTCTTCTTTATATTATTTTCTTTGTTGTATTTTCCAGTACTAAGTCTGTACCTCTTTTCCCACCAGTGCCATTAGCGTGGAAATGTACTACATCTTCTCGACACTTTGGGGACGCGAGCAGTACACCTTGTACGGGATCCTTGGTGTGGTATTCATCATCCTCCTGAGTGTGACTGCCTGTGTATCCGTGGCTCTCACCTACTTCCAATTGGCTGCGGAGGACTACAGGTGGTGGTGGAGATCCATCTTCAGTGCTGGGTGAGTGACAGGTTCTGAGTGGGGCCCCAAAGCAAGGTGAAATAATTATTGTCGTTATTTTTATTTTTATTATTAATTTATTTTATTATTATTTTTTTTTTTAAGCTATTTTCTGTATATTTATTTTTGTCTTTGGTCTTAAACTTGGCCAGTTCAAGGCATAAGTAAACTCATCAACTGCTTGATTCCCTTGTGGATGCAGGACTTTGTGAGAGAGAGAGAGAGAGAGAGAGAATGAGTGTGTGTGTGTGTGTGTGTGTGTGTGTGTGTGTGTGTGTGTGTGTGGTGTGTGTGTGTGTGTGTGTGTGTGTGTCACGCTAGAGAGTGTGTGAGAGAGAGTTTTTTCAAGGGTAATTATACAATGTTAGTTTAAATGCTTTTAATATAGACACATCTCAATCTGTCTCTGACCATATGAACTAATTGCATCTGGCTCTTGCAGATCTACCGGTGGCTTCGTCCTGATGTATTGTGTGTTCTACTACCTGAAACGCTCAAATATGTCAGGTGGCTTGCAGACCATAGAGTTCGTGGGATGGTCGCTTCTTACCTGTTACGTATTTTTCCTCACCCTTGGTACAGTCTCCTTCATGGCCTCCCTCACTTTCGTCAAATACATTTATCGTAACATCAAGATGGATTAAGATGGGTCGTTTTATTTTGTTTTAATTTCTCTTTTCTCTTAAATGATGTAGACACTCATAGAGGGAAAAGAATGGGAGCATAATGGTGTGTCAGGAAAAGAGAGAAAGTCTTTTTCAAAAGGAATGCAAGTAGCTTGTTAAGTCAACACCATAGGTATGAACACACTGTATCATGGGTCAGGCTGTCTTGTACATGAATTCGATCTTTAGATTTAAGGTGAAGTAGCGAGCAGAGGAAGTAGCGTTTCAGCAGACTATTTATTACCAGAATTTGCTCAGTAAAGAGGCATTGATGATATTTTTATGAGGAAAACATTATTCAGGTTTCCTGAAGTACAAGGAGTATGTGCTGCTCTGTGGATGGAAACTCCCTCTTCACTTCAAGGCTTGTGAATCATTAAGTTTAATTAGGCTGACTGCATTCATGTGCCTGGTGAGACTATGGGAACTAAAGGACTCCTGGATGATACTTATTTATTATTATTTCTTTTTATGGTTGATAGACTTTCAACCTTCATGAAGTCCTTCCTTAGTATTTTTTTTTCTTCCTCTCCTTTAAGAAAAGGAAGCTCTTATGAACAGCATTGAGAGGGAGAGGGAGACTGTCCCTCTCTTTCTCAGTGCTAGTCCTTTCTACCTGGGAATTTGGATAATGCTGAATGCTTGCTGAAGGACCAAGTGCTAAGCCTAGTGCCTTATAACACTTCTAGGGGTCTGAACAGTAAAAATTCTCAAACTGTTAGTTGACTGATGATGACAAGAAAAATGCTTGGATGCTGCCCCCTTTCCATCAAGGTCCTTTGTATCAGATTGATACATTAGTTTGGACTGCAAGAGGAGGTTTTATATCTTTTTATCTGTCTGAGTGTCTGTGTGTCTGTCTCTGTCTTGCTCTTGTCAGTCTACCTCTATGTTAGGCTGTGTTGCCGTATCTTCTAGGCATAGACAGAATATGACATAGAAGTTTATGTAGTTAGGGTAATAGAAAATCTCAATTCAATTTTTGCTAAAGACACAAAACACCATATGCACATTTCTGAAGAGGTAGCGGATGCTTTGAAACATTATAGAAGTACCAGTGTGTCATATCATTATCTTTTTTTTCTCTCTCTTCTTGAAATGGGTTTAGATCCTATGGATAAAGATTTTATTGGACTTCACAGTGTGTGTATATCTAGCAGTTTTAAACTAAAGTCTGTACTAAGCATGTATATGACTGGTAGGAAGGCAGAGTGTGTGGCATAGTATTTTTTTCCTTAGTCCCGTATACTGGCCAGTTACCAAAACTTAAGCTATTGTTTGATACAGAAAACATTGCATTAACAGTCTATCATGCCTGTTGTGTTGTACAAAGCAGTTAGCAGTTAAATTGTGAATAGAAAGCTATTATTAATGAACAGGAATCTCTAATTTAGGTATTTTATGCTATTCATTTAATAGATACATTATTCACCAGGCAATTGACATCCCAAGAAAGTGATAGATTTTTTTTTAAGGACATTTGTATGTCTCCAACAGCTTTTGTACAAATCAAAATGATATTTTGTATTTGTTCAGGAAAGATATTTAGTCGAATAATAGGAATGAAGAATGATGGTGAAAACAAATGAAAATTGAAAGATACTGACAGATGAATTGTGTTGAGTAAAAAACCCTTTTTTCCAATTTTATTATTGTGAGCATCAGTGTTAATGCAGTTAGGATCATTATCATTTCTATTTTTACTATATGCTTTATTTGTTTATATATCCACTTTCATCACTGTTTACGTCCATCAGTTGAGCAGAGTTTAACCAGAGCTTGTTGCATTTTCTCAGTAAATGATTTTTGAGGTTTTGTCTTATCAGGTTGTACACATTCATTGCCCCAACGCCCATACCCATAAATCCCCCCCACACACACATGCACAACACTTACACACACACACACACACACACACATGCACGCACACACTCACACATGCACGCACAAACTCACACGCACACACTCACACGCACACACTCAACTCACTCACTCACTCACTCACTCACTCACTCACTCACTCACTCACTCACTCACTCACTCACTCACTCACTCACTCACTCACTCACTCACTCACTCACTCACTCACACTCACTCACTCACACTCACTCACACACTCACACACACACACACACACACACACACACACACACACACACACACACACACACACACACACACACACACACACACACACACACACACACACACACACACTCTCTCTCTCTCTCTCTCTCTCTCTCTCTCTCTCTCTCTCTCTCTCTCTCTCTCTCTCTCTCTCTCTCTCTCTCTCTCTCTCTCTCTCTCTCTCTCTCTCTCTCTCTCTCTCTCTCTCTCTCTCTCTCTCTTCTCCTCTCTCACACTCTCCTTCTCCCTCTCTTACATGCTCCTTCTCCCTCTCTCACACTCTCCTTCTCCCTCTCTCACACTCTTTCCCTTTCCCTTTCATACCCCCCCCCTCTCTTGTTCCTCCTTCTCCTCATTTCCCTCTCCCTCTCCTCCACTTCCCCTCTCCCTCTCCTCCACTTCCCCTCTCCCTCTCTTCACTCTCCTCTCTCCTCTTCCCCTCTCCCTCTCCTCCACTTCCCCTCTCCCTCTCTTCCCTCTCCTCTCTCCTCTTCCACACTCCTTTTCTCTCTGTTTCAAAAGATTACCAATATATGTTATATAGGTTGATATGCTTCTGTAACAGTATTTTTTCAATGTTAGGTTATAGTTGTGTAATGATTCACAGTTGTAAAAAGGGATATATTGCTCATGTGTCATTTACGTGTACAGAATGAGAGAGGAACATTTTGCTTGTGTGTGTCCGCTAGCTTATGTGATTATTTCTGGACAGATAGATATATCTTCTCGTTAGTAGTATTAGTAAAAGGAAAAAGCCGGGCATGTGTGATATATGTGTATCTGAGGTACAAGATGTTTTAATAATCTTATCCATTTGCAACTAGTTTTTTTCTTCTTCTTTCTCTCTTACTTTCTTTAATGAAAGAAATGTAATCCTTTATTTAATTCTGTGGCATTTGAAATCCAGACATGATTATCAAAATTATTGTCTACAAATTATATGTAAAGTCAAATTTTATTTAACAATTATAAAGTGTGTGCAGATTGATAATGATAGAAAGGCCTTGTTACTATAATGCTTTTTTCTTTTGATTTTAAGATATTTGTGTATTTTGTTGATTGTTATTTTCAGATTTTATGATGCATATATTTTAGGAGGGAAATAGTCACATCTGCAGTAATGATTAAAAAAAAAAAAAAAAAAAAAAAAACAGATTTACATGGACTTGAATTTATTAAACAAATATGCCAGTTATTATACTGTTAAAAAAATATTTTCTGATATGTAAACAGTATGTGACTGGAGTTTCTGCTGAAAGTTGTCATATCTATTGAAAATGTAAAGAATTTTGTTTTATCTTTATGTTTGCCACGAAACTAAGAATTAACAGTAGTGGAAGGTATAGTTAATTCCTCTTTATTTATTTATTTATTTATTTATTTATTTTTCTTTAATAATGGAAAGTGAATACCATTTAAAATTATGTATAATTTCTTATTATGCTGTGGGCATTATCCTGCGTTATTCGATATCATTTTCTAAGTTCATTTTGGTTGTTCATAGTGTTTGGATGTGCTCATTCAGGTGTATATAAGTCTATGTTTCTTTTTTTTTGTGCCTTTCTTTTTCATGGTTATTTATTCACATTAAATAGCATTGCCTTCCACATCACTGGAGTTCTTTGTAAATCTGGGTAATTAGCAGTTGTACACAATATAGTGTGTTGTGAAACAGTATTAGGATATTTTGAGTGATGTGTTGTGATTGACAATGTAACTTATTTTGAATGGAGTGACTGCTATTTATTTCTGGCCGTCATGCCTCAGATGGCACAAAGTTTTGTAATTTTCCTGTGTAAATATATAACTCTCTCCCATTTAATTGTGAATCTCTAATGTAATAATGATGACCACCATTTGCATTTATTACTGTATTTTCTTTTTCTTTGGAGACACTGACACCTTGTTGTGGTTTAAAGGCAGCAGTTAAGAAGATTGTGGTTGTTGTTTTTCCTGCTGTTTTTCAGTGGTGAAGTCATACAACGTAGATTGTGGAGAAGAGAGAATATATGGTTTATTGGTAGGATGAAGAAAATTGTATGGGTATTAGATGAGAAACATATGTAACTGTGTAACCACTGCAGAAGATCTTGAGTGGGATTTTATTCTCAAGGTGAAAGACGTTGAAGGGGATTTGAATGCCTCATGTAATTAGATCTCTCAAGTTCAATATTTTCATATCAGAGGTTATGAAAGGAGTCTCACATTTATGATATTATGCTTCTACCATATAAGAATCCTGCCTAGAGGAATTGGGAGTCACAGGCTGTAATGTCTGGAGGCTTTGGTTGCTGTTGAAGGCCTGTTTGGGGAACGTTTGTCGTACATTCCAAGGGCATTATGGTGCATTTTGCATTGGATCATTTGGTGGTTTGATTTTCTTTCTTTTTCTTGTACGTTGCTTTTCTGTAGTGTAGATTCTTCTAGTGTTTTATGATATTAGCTCAAGAGGTGCAGAAATGGTTTAGTTTTCATTCCCAAATAGAATAGTTAGATTATGCTTATAGATTTGTATATACATATATATCATTGTTTAACATGTGGTCCAATACCAAGAAAGTTTTAGTTTTGAATTAGTGAAATGGCACATCTTACCAAACCCATTTTGTTTGGTGAACAAGAAGTAATTTTGAGGATCGTCACTTTCACTGCTTTCTAATCCAGTAACAATTGGCTCCTGGAATCAATTGGGTGAAATAATTCTTGTGTTTCCATACTGAGAGTTAAGCTGTGATTTCTTTATCCTGTGAGTCTTAGTTTCAGTTTCTAGATAAGGTCATAGGTAGATATTTGTATATTTGCTAAAGAAACTGCATTTGTCATACAAATGAAGTTCCGTTAAACATAAATTTAGCTTGTACAAGCTCAGTCAGACCAGATAGAGTTTCAAACATTTCCACACGAGATGCCACAAATGACCCAAACAGTTAATGTGGTAGAGGATCTTTTATTAAATAGTGGGATGCCGAACAAACCAGTTTTGTTGCCTCCAGACAACAGTGGCTGCGGTTAGCTAGTCCCATCACTCTGTGTGTTTTCATTCATTTTCACATTTCTTGAACCATATCAGAGTAACAAGAACGGAGAATATAAAGTTTTTATTTCTTCTTTTTTATCGAAGGGGAGAGATTTATGAAGTATATTGTTACTATACATTTTCTGTCACTTGGGGAGTGGGGAAACCCCTTAACTGTATTATTTAATGTAATATTTCATCTTATTTATTTTTTGGCAGAACATTTCAGATGATTTGTTTATGATAATTATACAGAGGTTTTTGTCACTGTTACATCTATTTTGTCTCCATAGAAATCCCTTTTGCATGCCTTAGTCCTGAAAAAAAGTACAGTCAAGGGGTTAACACAAATTATTTGCATAAATAAATGGTTGTAGATAAATGGTAATTTTGATATTTCATTTTCCTTAATTCTGTAAATGTACACATACAGACATATTAATGCAAATATCAGTATCAAATGCACAAACATTAATACAGATATCAACTTTTTTATTTCACCCTGCAGTAATGCACAAAAAATCTATGCTATAACTAGTCTGAGTTGCAAATTGGTTGCCTTATTAAATATATGTAAGCTAGATGGAATTTATTTCTGCATCATAGATGTTCAATATTGATACCTTAGAATATGGTTATCAACATATAATATCTGGTGTATAAGTAAGTAACTTTTAGCAGGTTTCTGTAGCTATCTTGACATATTAACTGCCTTTTTATTTCACTGTTATAAGGGGGTTAGTTATATGAGTAATAAAGCAGAATATTAATATGAGTTTTTACAACAGAGGCAATATCTGATATATTTGTAGACAATAACAATATTTTTACATTTTACACTGAAGGCTTACTAAATGTGAACAAACACATGGTAAAAATGAAAAGGCATTAAAAGTCTTTCTTCAACCTCTCAAGATAGTTGACAGACATACTAGTGACCTTAGAAGCACATGAGACTTAACCATTAACCATTAACCATTAAGAGTCTTGTACTTAAATGCCTTAGAATGAGTAATAAAACATCCAAGAGAAGAAGTACTTGAAGTAAGATGTCAGTACTATCGTAATCAGTGAACCACATTGGACTAATACTATGGAATTACGAGCATGAAATGTCTCTCACTTTGTAACGTTTATATTGCACTTGATCAGATTGTGATCACCAATATAAGATAAGATGAGCAGTTAAAGTGGAATATAGCAGCACCAACGAAATAAGTAAAGGTAATGTGTGTCTCGATTGAGGAGAATAATCTAAAAATCATATATCTCTTAAGAGATATCTGAATAACATTCTATTTCAAAGGGATGACTTGCCAAATAATTGTCACCACCACCCAATAAATAATGGAATGATTAACATCACAAACTGACAATTATAAAATAATTATATAACTAAACTGGCAGTTATTAGATATTCACCATCGCCAACGTGTTATTCAGCGACTGATGATCACCACCAACCTGTCACAAATCAAATGATTATTATTACGTCTGTCATTATCAATAATGATTATTCACATCTGTCAACCTGTCATTAAACATCACCGACAAGTGTATCCCAAATGCCCCAGCAAAAAAAAAAAAAGAGAGAGAGAGAGAGAGAGAGAGAGAGAGAGAGAGAGAGAGAGAGAGAGAGAGAGAGAGAGAGAGAGAGAGAGAGAGAGAGAGAGAGAGAGAGAGAGAGAGAGAGAGAGAGAGAGAGAGAGAGAGAGAGAGAGAGAGAGAGAGAGAGAGAGAGAGAGAGAGAGGAGAGACGAGGAGAGAGAAATGCGGCTTGTCAGAGAAATATACAACCAACAAATACACTTCACCGACAAGTGTATCCCCAATGCCCTACCCCTTGTCCTCCCCTCTTTTCCTCCTCCTCCCCTCCATTTACGATATCGTAAGGCGCGCGCGCGTGTGTGTGTGTGTCTAAAAAAGAAAAGAGAGCAGTGCATTGCAGTTTTTGCAGCCCAAGAGTCGATTGGTGAACGGCCGAGAGCAATACAAAATTTTATCTCTTGGGAGACACTGGAAGCCACAAATGCTTGCCGTGCGGCTCGTCTGACAGGGGATCGGGGTTTGTAATAAGTATCTCGGCAATGGCGTTTTCTCACAGCAAAGTTAAATATAGCTTTTATTTTTGAAACTTTTGTCAAATCCTCTTTTTTTATAAATAATGGTGATTGACATTAATTTTACTCAATGTGAAATTTTTCAATATTTTCCGTTGCGATTTGATATTAAATGATCATAATGGTGATGGTAATAATGATGGTAACGATATGATGATAATGGTAGGAATGTTAATAATGATAATAATGATAATACTAATAATAACGGTCGTAATGATGATAATGAAAATAATAATGATGATAATAGTAATAATAATGATAAGAGTAATAATAATGATGATGATACTAATAATATTGATTATGATATATATAATACTCATAATAATAATGATAACACCAGCAATAACAATAATAATAATAATGATAATAATAATAATAATAATAATGGTAAGGATAATGATAATAATGATAATGACAATGATGATAATGAATAATAATGATAACAGTGATAGAAATAGATTTGCGCAATAAAAATAATACATGGTAAAAAATCTGTAGTTGTATCGAGATCATTATTAAAAAGAATGGAAAAGAAAGTGTATTGTGTGTTGATTGTACCAGTGGTAGGTTCTTAATAAATAGCTATCAGGTGGAATCTTGGTTTATTCCAGTACAAACGTCGTGTGATGTTTACAAGATGGCTCCTCCTGTAGTAGGATGCATGATGTTGCCGGCTCATTAAAATTTCCAATAATTCCGTAAGAACACTAAGAGGATCAACATCCTTCCGCTAACGAGACCAAAGGGATGAGAATCTCTACAATGTCAAAAAACAAAACAAACAAACAATAACACAGAATCGAGGGATGAGAGAAGTCGGTGGGAAACAACACACAACCAGAGGGAGGGAAACACATTTACAACATAAATAGCATGTAGATAACACTGGATTAATCTTTGACGACATTGTAATATATGACAAATATGGATAGATATATATACAGATCTCTCCCTTCGGGAGTCGCAAATGATGAAGAAGAAGAAAAAAAAAAAAAAAGAAGATAAAGAGGAGACAAAAATACAATGGCAAAAAAGGAGGAAAGACAGAATAAAATTGTTTTGAGAAAAAGCCAGTATGATGTGATAGAATCTGTGACTTGACTTACACAGTGCCAATAGGAATAAGGAGTTCCATTTGAAGTATTGATAGTAATACAAAATAAAATCTTGTGATAAATTGAACATAAGGATTACATTTTGACCTTGATTGCAGCACTGTGTACTTTTTGCACATATATCATTTCAGTTTTCTTTCATAAGATGGAGGATTACTCTGCTTTAGTGTAGATGGGATGTGAAATAGTGTAACACTATGTTCTGGGGGCCACGACACATATGATACATATCACTTATTTAAACGAGGACTGCGTCTTGGAGGCAGGTTGAAGCGAACTCGTTTCTTGACTGCAGGTGGGTTGTGAGGCGGCTGCGCAGAAGGAAGTGGTGGGGGAACAGGTAGCAGGAATCGCCTGTTTCTCCAAAATATACGACCGCTAGGTGTCTTAATCAGGTAGTCACGCTTGCGACCGACACCTACGATGATACCTGTAGCATCCCATCGTTTTGTAGAATGGTTTTGGATACGGGCATCAGTGCCCAAGGGAATGGGCGACAAGGACTTGGCATGGGCATTGTAATGGATGGCTGCATGGTCCTTGGCTGAGTGGCGTTCATCTAGTGTCTTTGCTATGACATGCCACTTAGTATCGAAGGCACTACTATGTGTTGGGACAAGTGAAATCATAGCAGGTGAGAGACCAGGACGTGATGTACTACGAAGCTCAAGTAGACCATTTGTAAAGTCTTCGTTGTTATAAAGGTCTCCTGTTGGAGCTGTTTTGGTAATAAGGTGCTTCATTACCTTAACATGAGCTTCTGCGTGTCCATTAGATTGTGGATAATGGGGTGTTGACATATTGTGATGAACACGCATTTCTGTAAGAACGGAAATTCATGTGATGAAAATTGAGGTCCTCCATCGGTGCGCAGACGAGCAGGGACGCCCAATTGGCCAAATAGTTTCCTGAATGCGCGTATGGTGGCGCGACTAGATGTGTCTCCTTGA